GTGTGTGTGTGTGTGTGTCTCTGTGTGTGTGTGTCTCTGTTGTGTGTGTGTCTGTGTGTGTGTTGTGTGTGTGTGTCTGTGTGTCTGTGTGTGTGTGTGTTGTGTGTGTGTGTGTGTGTGTCTGTGTGTGTCTGTGTGTGTGGTGTGTGTGTGTGTGTGTGTTGTGTCTGTGTGTGTGTGTGTGTGTGTGTGTGTGTGTGTGTGTTTGTGTGTGTGTGTGTGTGTGTTGTGTGTGTGTGTGTGTGTGTGTCTGTGTGTGTGTGTGTGTGTGTGTTGTGTGTGTGTGTGTGTGTGTGTGTGTGGTGGTGTGTGTGTCTGTGTGTGTGTGTGTGTGTGTGTGTGTGTGTGTGTCTCTGTGTGTGTGTGTGTGTGTGTGTGTGTGTGTGTGTGTGCCATCGTTACCATAACTACAGGACTCTGAGTGATGAGTTTCTCAACACCACTTAGACAAACCGGCCACAGAGCAAAAGTTCCCCCCAAACATTAAACTCAAGTAGAGTGACTTCCTTCCTGTGAACACAGGAAGTCACTGTAACCATAGCGACGGCTTCAGGTACCCGCCCATCGTCTCGCTCTCTCACCGTATGTGTAGTAGGAGTTGTCCGTGCAGCTGGGGAACAGAACCCTGTCCAGGCCGCCGTTGGGGGAGTCAATGTTGAGCTGGGGGAGGGAGATGGCGTTCTTGATGATGGGTGAGACGTCCGGCGGCGGGGACGACAGGTCACGGGATCCTCCTCGCGGTCTCGGCGCAGAGGTCTTCCCAACGTGTCTAAAGGTGCGGGTGAAGAACCCGGTGGTCCTGGAGCTGCTGGCGGAGTCCGGACTCCCCGGCTCCCTCGGGCCCCCGAAGTTACTGAGGAACGACGTGTCTCCAAACACGTCGCCCCCCCGACCCACGTGCATCGTGTGTCTGAAGTCCCCGAGCGGCGGGCTGATCATGTCCACAGACAGCTCGCTCTTAAAGCGACGCTTCCCCTGAGAGCCGGACACCAGGCCCTTAATCCCTGCAGGCATCTTACCCAGACTCATGGTGCACTGTCTCTTTAAATCCAGCAGGGGGGGCTGAGCTCCGAGGACATGTCAGGAGAGTCAGAGCTCCGCCTCCACTGTAAAACCAGAGAGAGAGAGAGAGAGAGAGAGAGAGAGAGAGAGAGAGAGAGAGAGAGAGAGAGAGTTAGGAGGCGGGACAGACGAGAGCGTGTGTGAAATCTATTCTGCACGCTGCCCGAGGCGTCTGGTCATCAACGCACAACCTTCAGCTGACCTCTGAGGTCGACACTGAAGGAAGGAGGACGACCCTCAACCAGTCTCTCAAAGTCTCTCTGTGTGTGTCAGGGCGCCGCCAACCTGATGGTCATCACCAGAATATTAAACACTGATTTGATTCCAGTAAAAAAACAAACTCAACTAAACAGGAGACCGATCGGTTTAATGTTTATTTATCTATCGATCATTAAAAACTCTGAATCTGTGATTTAAATCCAGTATCTCCTCTGAAAATAACTCTGTGAGTCATGACTGTCTACAATGGGTGTAACACCCGAGTCCCACTGTCTGTGATGTTTTCAGAGTTTTCAGAGTCCTATCTTCACTTTGTTTACATCGCCGGGACGGCCGGCTGACTCCTCCCCTCGTGTATAAAAGTTGTTTAATTGAGGGACTAGAGAAAAGAAGAATAACATACTGTACTCACTGCTTAACTGTGTTTCTAGATCACGCTCATTTCAGGTAAATTTACATGCAGTGTGAAGATACCAGCATAATAAAGATCGCTAGCATTAGCATGCTAACACAACAATGCAGCGCAAGTTGTTTTGGTTTCATGCTGGAGCTCAAGGGCGACATCTACTGGATCAAACATCACATAAAAAGCCTTTAAAGAAACAGAACGTAAGTTCAGCCACCAGGGGGGCGCTCAATCATAACAATAACAAAAGAAAAAAAACGCCAAGGCTAGCGGGGAATCATGGGAGTGATTCTCTCTGCTACTCCGCTGACCGTAGTCATGACGACCGGGTGAAATCGAGAATATGTTTACAGACAAGCTGATGTATCGGAGTTTAATCTACATGATGTTTTTATCACAGCAGCTTTCAGCAACAGCTCACGCGTCATTATGCAGCGGCCTTTGACATAATATCCTGTTTCCATGGCAACCATAAACAGGAAGTGTCTGTCACTGTGGCGGCTCAAGACACGCCCCCTTTATGACTTTAAACTGAAGGATTTCATGTAAGAACTCAACCAGAATACACAACCATCGAAAAGTACTGAAAACTTCTGATGACCTTTGAATTATTTTCTCCTGAACAACAACAACAACAACAACAACAACAACAACAACAACAACAACAACAACAAAAACAGCTTCAGGAGAAAATCACAAAGAGGAGGAATTAGAGGCTCTTAAATCTTTTGTCCTCGAGTTACCACAGAGCAAGTGTTTACAGAGTTTTTCTAAACGATGGATTAACGATACAAAGTCCACTGTGGGCACAACGAGGGGGACTCTGAGACCAACAAACAAACAAACAAACAAACAAACACACACACACACAAACAAACAAACACACAGACCAACAAACAAACAACCAGGTGCTCAGTTTGTTTACCCTCCATCCTAACTTGACATATTTGATCTTACAGGGAGATGGGGGGGTATAGAGGACAGTATGTTGCACGTGCACGCTCATGTTGCACGTGCACGCTCATGTTGCACGTGCACGCTCATGTTGCACGTGCACGCTGATGTAATGAAGATGTTTTGTGTTTTTGAGCGCTCTACTCGTGCTCGCCGTCGTCTCTTTTCACTTTCCTCTCATACTCGTCTGAAGGATTATCAGCTGATTTCTGTCTGAGCCGTCTCTCTGCTCTCTAACCTCCCTTTAGCCACACAGCGAGCAGCATCCTGACAACGAGGAGTTAAA